AAGAATGGAGCAAGTGAAAAATGATGGGAAAAAGGATTTTGAAGTTAAGCTCGATGGTAATTTGTATTATCGTGGGAGGCTTGTTATTCTAGATAATGAGGATTTGAAGAATGACTTGTTGTCAGAAGCTCATTATAGTCCATTGACTATGCACCCAGGAGGAAATAAGATGTATATGGATCTTAAAAATCGTTATTAGTGGTCAGGAATGAAAAAAAATATCACAGAATTTGTGTCCAAGTGTTTGACGTGTCAGCAAGTAAAAGCTTAGTGTTAGGTTCCTTCAGGATTGTTCCAACCAATCTCTATTCCTCAGTGGAAATGAGAGAATGTTACTATGCATTTCGTATCATGGTTGCATTTGACTCCGAACAAAAGAGACTCAATTTGGGTTATAGTCGACCGATCAACTAAGTTAGTTGAATTCTCTATGGACAAGTAAGGTGAATTGTACATCAAAGAAATTGTTCGACTTCATGGTGTGCGTGTTTCAATAGTATCCGACTGAGATCCACGATTCACTTCAAGATTTTGGAAGACTTTACATGGAACTTTAGGGACTTGATTAAACTTTAGTACAACTTTTCACCCTCAGACAGATGGACAATTTGCGAGGACAATCCAAATCCTGGAATATATGTTAAGGGCATGTGTTATCGAGTTCAAAGGATCTTGGGAGAAATATTTGTCTCTTGTAGAATTTGCTTACAACAACAGCTACCAGGTGAGCATTAAGATGGCTCCCTACGAAGCTTTATACGGGGGGGGGGGGGAAGTCTCGTACACCATTGAATTGAAAGAGAAGTAGAAACTAAAAGGTAGATAAGTTATTGATAATTTAGTAAAGAGGGTTTTTGAGAGAATTGATGAGAAATGGTTAGTAAATGGATTTTGAAGCTATATTTGACTTCTCATAAGCTATAGTAAGAAGTTTAAGGTATTGGAAAAGGATTTGGGATATGTTGATTAATTGGTATGATTTTTAGTTTCAAGTGTTCTAGTGAGATTTTGGATATTTAGGAATGTTAAAGTGATATAAGTTGGTTTTGATAAGTGTAGTTGAGTTAAAGGACTGAAAGGAGTTAAAATTGTGAGACATTTAGGTGAGTTTTGGTAAATTTTTGAAATGAAATGGATAAATTCTGAGTAAGGGTATCAATACTGGATGAACAGTACCGATACTTCAAAGCAAAAATAGGTGAAATATGGGTTTGAGTATCGATACTGGAAGAAAAATATCGATACTATAAGGTGTTATGGTATCAATCAGTAGAACAATATCGATACCGAAGGAGTAGCATCGATACCAATGGTATCGATACCAATGGTATCGATACTAATGAACAAGTATCAGTACCATTTTTAGAGATGAATTCCAGAATGTAGATTGGGTATCGATACTGAAGTATAGTATCGATACCATAGTGAGGAAGCATCGGTACTGGGCCTAGAGTACCGATACTATTCAGATTGAAGTTGTAAATTAGGTGTTTCGTTTAATTTAAGTTATTGATGATTGATTAATAGTAATAAGAACTTCAATATTCATATTGATCATATTATTTGTGTAGATATTGAACAAAGGCAAGTTTCGGACGATTAGACGTTATAAGATCAGCCAAGAGGGATAAGGGTTGCTTTGACTAAGTGAGGCAAAACGGTGAGTGCATATTACTATAATATATGGTTATATGGAAAGAAGACATACGATGAGTCTATTTCCAATGTTTTGAATAAAACAATATTTTTAAAGTTTATTACATGATATGATTACATGTTTACATGAATATAAGTACAGTTTTGATTTTGTTACAAAGCGTACATGCATTGTTTATATTTGACACTATGTGTTATTGATCTATGTGATTATGTGAATATGAGATATAAGCTATGGGAATGTATAATTGGTAAAGCCCAAAAGTATGTGATATGAAAGCTAAAGATATAATTAGCATGCCAAGAGTCGAGGGTTCTACGCAGTCCTTCGGGATAATTCTACGTGGTCGTTCAGGACATTTTTACGTGGTCCTTTGGGACATTTCTACGCGATCCTTCGGGACATTTCTATATGGTCCTTCGGAACATTTCTACGTGGAACTTTGGTGCATATTCTACGCGTCACTTCGGTACAATTCTACCCAGTACACAACCTCAATGCACTCACATACCTTGTGTTCTCAGTAATATACCATGGGCTATTAAAAGAAATGATATGAATGAACAGTACATGCTAATGTTTGTTTTTGTTTTATGAAATGTACTATGGTTTCTTTATTCTATGATTTTTATAAAAGTTAAGAATAAGATTAAATGTTTCAATGTTTTATTTATGTATTTTATGCCTCACTAGGTCAAAGATTTAGCGTGTAGGTTCAAAGAAGTCGGAAGAACAAAGCTAGGACATGTCAAAACATCATGTCTATACCGAAGATCATATCATAAACAATTTAAGCAGTATGTTCTTTTGTCACATTGAATTTTGTTGTCATGTAATTAAATGTTTAAATCGCATATGCTCGGATCAATTTTGTAAACATACTCTATTGTTTTTATGTGAATTATGAAGTTTTTAATTTCAAATTGAGTTTGAATTTTCTCTATTTATTTTTTATTATGAGTTCCACCATTGTGATACAAATATAGATTGTTTTTTTACTACTTTTTAAAAGTCAATGATTTGAAAAGTCAATGTAACATATCAGATTCGTATCCGGGTCGGATAAGGGTTGGGGGTGTTACAAACATCTCTGTTTTGTAAGATTACATTTTCTAATAGTCAGATCGGATAGTTGGATCTTGTTTAAAAAAAAATAGTTTTTAAAATTTGAGTTTAAAAATTATATTTATAAAATAAATTGTGAAATTTAAGGTATTTGGGGTTTTGGGTTAAAAAGTATTTACTTAATTGTTAATTTAATTTATAAAACATAAATTAAGGGCTAAATTAAATGAGTACCAAAACTTTTAAGCTCCTAATACGGTTTATCATTGATAAATGGACTTCATTAAATTGAGTTATTTGGGCTGTAGCTTCCTCGAGTATTTTTACTCTTTCTGAACCTGATAACAGAGAGAGAAATGTTGTATAGATTTACTAGATTTTATTATTTTAATTAAAAATAATTGAATATGATAAAATAATTAGTATAAGAAATTATTGATAATAATAAATTTGTCATAAATAAATCTCAAGGGGATATGAAGATATTTTTCAAACTATTAGAGATAAGTAGAATTTCCATATCTCAAGGGATTTGTGTACATTATTAATTAAATGTTAATCATCTGCTCCATTAATAACATATGGAATCATACCTGGTTTTCAAATATAAATCTTATTATTAATTATGATTATGGTATCCAAATAGAGGTATTAACTGCTGAGTCTTAACTATCAAATTACTTGAACTGGTCATTTTGGAGTACGGCGTTGCTGTTGCATGCACGTTCACATGGTAAATATTTTTGGTACAATTGAGAAGGAGAATGATGAGAATTCTCTTACCACTCGATCATTATTGAATTTTAAGAGATCCTTGTTAATTAATCTATCTTTTTGTTTGCTTACGTCTTGATTTTAAATTTCCAATGAAAGGGTAACCTTTCAAGGTCCCAATTAATTGTTCAATTTAAATTAAAATCCTTTCCACTACAACAAATTTTCTTATTAGTGACATCTAGATTATTGTCACTAAAACTTCAATTTACATCATTAGATGTATTTTGTGACGTAACATTCGGTGTCACGACGATCGTTACCCTAGGTGTGTCACTAAATGTCAAAAGTGAGGATATATATGTTATCGTCATGTATTGTTAAACATATAGTGACATTAATAGATAACACCATCGTTTAATTTTCATTTAGTGACAATTACTTTTGTCACCAAATGATGTACATTTTTGTCATTAATAAATCATATCGTCACCAATAACACAATAATTTAATTATATACATGATGAAAAGAAAATTGTCACATTGTTAATGACGTAGTATATCATCAACTAATAGGAGCATGGATGACATTTATATACGTCACTATATAATTGATATTCAATGACAATTAATTCTGTCAGTAATTATGTAAAATTTTGTTATTGATGATTTATATCATCACAGATAATACATTAAAATCAATCTATATGTACCGAAAGAGATATTGTCACATTTTTAATAACATAATATAAATGTTAACTAATAATATTATGAAGGACGTTTATGCATAATGCCACTTTATAATTTATATATTCTAAGACAATTAGTTACATCACTAAATTAAATAAAATTTCATTGCTGATAATTTATATCGTCACAAATAATACATTAAAATCAACTTATATGTGACTAAAGAGATAGTCACATTTTTAGTAACATAATATATCGTTACCTAATAATATTATGAATGATGATTATGCATAACATCACCATATATAATGTCACCAATATAGTGGCAAAACCAAAAACTGTCACATTTTTAATGATATTATATATTAAAATAAAATTATTTATACAAATCTAAATAAAAAATATAATAGTTCACTTATTTCAAAATAATAAGATTTAAATAAGTATTTCACTAAATACATAATAATTTCATTTTTATAAATATAAAAAGGTTTAAATGTTTACGGAAAATAAAAAAATATGATAATAATATGACTAGTAGAATATTTTGTTGCAGGAATTTCAATCCAAACCTTGTGTCAATTGTGATTCTGTTGATGCTGTGTTTGTGGTATCTTTGATCTAGTGGGATGAGACACTAGATCTCTTAAGCAAGGTCAGGGGTTTGAATCCTAACGTTTGCGAATGGAGTAAACTAGGTTGAGAAGATTGCCCTTGCCTCTGCAATACCAGATCTTGATTAGACGGTAAATAGATCAGATATCAATGATTAATTCAAAAAAATAATCAACATTCGTTACTAAAATTAATATTATATAATATTTTTTATTTGATTAACTATATTTACCTGAAAATTGAAGCGATGACACTTGAATTCCAACACCTAACAAAGCAGAACTCATAGCTTCCATTTGAGTTTGAATAAATTCAAAATTTGACTTACAATCATTAAGTTCATCTTCTTTATTCTTCAAATACTTTTTTAACTCGATTGTATCTACACTTGAATTTGTTTTCTTAGGCTTTGGCCCATATCCAAGCCTCGGAATGTATCTTGGTCTCGTACCAAGTACGTCATCTACTATATCATTGGTATTCTTAGGCTTTGCTCCTTCAACTGGAGTTGATTTCAACTCCACCATTTTCTCTTAAAAAAGTCATTCATAAATAAAATAATCCTTAGATAAAAAATTACAATTTAATACTTTAATTTTGCGAGGTCTTAAATATTTTGCTTGTGCCTCAGATGTTGTCCATCCTCTGTCATTTAAATAATGAGCTACCTTGAAGAAATCCATCCTATTTGGTTCTTCATCATCCTTGCGCTATATGATTTCAAAAATAAAAATTAGATTTTAAAATAAAAATAAACTTCATAATAAATATTAAAAGTGTCCAACTTACCATAGCATATCGGCTTGCGACAAAAGCCCGAGATCCTTGATTAAGAGTTAACTTGACATTTCTTCTGACTCTTGCATTTGTTTCATACCTCCTCTTCAATTATAAACATGTATAAACATAATTTATAATTTATTATAGAAATAATAAAAGAAAAAAATTATGAATCACATAAATCAATATGCATATGCAGTAATCGTACCTAATATTAAGGATCACTAAACAAATATCATAAGATTCTTAAATAAATTGAACAAATGTATATTAGACCAGTGCATGCACAACAATTGTGCCACAATTAGGCAACACAACAAAAGCCAGAAACAAAAATTTTAACACTTTTATTAAGCTTATTCCAACCCTAAAACCATATGATAATTCAATTTAACAAGCAAAATCCATAATATTTCTAACCATCAAAACGGAAAAATGAGAGTACATAACTTGAAGATAATCCACTTCCCTACCAAGTTAATATTTCAGTAGCATACACATAAAATCATAATTAAAGCAATAAATACATGAGAAAATGAACAATTCCCTCTTTTCGAATTCAAGCTCCTAATGGAGCAGCACATCAAAAGCCATATGATAATTCAATTTAACCAAGGAATTTAACGGGTTTATTAAGTTCATTTCACCCCTAAAACCATATGATAATTCAATTTAACCAAGAAATCAATTTAAGGAAGCTAACATTTTGGCATCATCTTTGTGTCCTTCACCACTAAAAATTGCTTTGATTTTAACCCATTCTCTATACGATCGCATGGGTTCACAAGCAGCATTATTATTGACTTCCTATTTCGATGCACATGTTACTCTTGAGGCAAACAAACAATTTTTTTTAATTTGTACTTCCATATACATATCAGTGTTTTGCAAAATTTTGAGGAACAATGTATGAAACAGAGGAAACAGGCTGAAACAGAGGAAACAGGCTGAAACAGAGGAAACAGGCTAAAGCAGAGGAAACAAGCTAAAATAGTAACTTCCTCAGTTTAAACCAATCCTAGTGCAGAATACAAAATGTCATACATACATGTTCCAAATTATACCAATTTTATCAAGCTATCCATGTGCTATAAATAAGGATGTGAAGTAATACAGATTGAACGAATAATCTTATCAATTGTGCTATTGGAATAGATATGTGGTCAACTATAAACAATTACAAATGGTACGGATTAAACATGCTTTTCAGTCATATAGACAATTTAAGCTAATATGCTCATCATTGATACAACTCAATCAGACATACAGTGTTATTATATCAGAACAATCATAATTACATATTAACAGTACAAGCAGCGGCATACAACAATCATCGTACACAGCACACAAATAAGTTTAGCACAAAGATTAGACACACAAATTAATAAGCGTGTACGGACTTTGAAATGTGAAGTGAGAATCCCGAATCGACAACGATAATCTTAGTTAATCAATAGCTGATTCAGATTTAACATTTACAGTTTGAGACCACCTCAAAAATATAAAAATAATGTATTAATAACTAGGTTGAGTCAAATAAATCAGTGTAAAAAGTCAGCTTATCTCATCAATGTCAACAAAAGGTTATCGGCTCTAACAATAAATTAGTCGGTTAAACAAGTCAGGTTTCAAGTCAAGGCATTACGGATTAAGTCACAAGGTTGTGTACAAATAAGAATATAATTCGGATACTGTCGAACTGAGTTGAATTAAAAGTGATATGTTACCATATTCTTATTGTTATAATTATTAAAAGTAATAATAATATTCGAAAGGTAAATGAAACATTACCATATGGAAAGTGAAATAATAATATTTTTAATTATTATTGCTCCACTTCCAATCTTACATTTCAACAAGCAAAAGCTGCCTTGCAAAATTCATTTTTCAATTTAAGGAATATGGAAACAGTGGAGGGGTTTCCACGATTAATGGATTTGGGTTAAAAATCAGGAAATCACAGTGCAACAAAGTAGCCAGGAAAAACAAAAAAAGAAATTGCTATCACATACAACTAATAAAATAATTATCATTGTAGCAGAGAACAAAGATGATCACACGACGACACAATAATCTGGGCAGAAGGGTTCCTAATCATAGCAATAAGGCGATGGACGAAACTCAAAAATAATATATAATAGGATTGAGGTCTTACCCAAAGAAATACGCTTGATTAATCAGAAAAATGGTCGGAGTAAGGTAGCGATAGCAACACAATGCTTGAGGCTCCAAACTGCGCGACTTTGGAAAAATACACGATAGAGTGGACAAATAGATAGCACAGAAGAGCGTTGGTCCTAGCGGTCATGGAGCTCAATCGAATCAGAAATATTTGACCCATGAATGGATGGTCGAATGGTGATTCATGGCGGCCATAACTAATTGAGGAATCAAGGGTTTTGAGAAAATGGGAGCCGCTGAAGAAATTGGTGGTTGAGGCAATAATTATACCTATAAATAAAAATGGCTAATTTACCAAACAATCCACCATTCTTTGCAGAATTTTTAAATTAGGACCTGACTTCATAGACTCAATATATGGATACTTTGGAATGCTAAGTGTAACATAGATGGATGGCATGTAGGGATGGGCAAGGGACTCAAACCCGATGGGTTCCGACCCGATAGGTCATTTTTTTTAAAATTCATGTTTGGTTTGGGACGGGTTTTTTAAATGTGATGTTCGGATTGAGTCGAATTTGAGTTTAAGGTGAAAAATACACAACCCAAAAAATATAATTTTACCTTATATATTTAGGAATAATTATAATAATACCCTTATATATATTATTTTTTAATTAAATCATTGTTTTATTGAATAAAAATAATATTTTTTATTATTTCGGGTCGGATTGAATTCAGATTTTATCTAAAAAATCGATCGAGTTTGATTCTGGTGGAGGGTATATATTTTTTGGGTCGCTCGGGTCGGGTTGGCCGAAACCTTACCCAAACCCAACTCATGCCATCCCTAATGGCATGTCCAATTTTTAGATTTTAGTGGACACAAATTTAAAAATTAAATTTTCCATAATAAGTTTCTAAAAGATTAATTTTAAGACTAGACAAAAACAAATTATTTGTGATTATATATTTTTTCACTATAATTAAAATTTATAACTAAAAATAAAATTTATTAAAAAAAATTGAATCTAATTATTTGTTGTGAAATTTTTTTCTTTAATAATGACTAAAACTTATAGTTACAAAACTTGTCACTGTATGATTTTTTTTACGTAAAAAAATTGAAGGAAAACATTTGTGTCAAATAATGGAAACAAAATATATTTTTTAACCAAATGTTATACAAGTTTTCTAATTGTGACAAAATATTATGACAATATTTATTTTTGTAACAACTGTATATGTTTCTTTTAATTTAATGTGGCGCTTATCTATTTTGTCACAAAAAAGTTATTAATAGTGACAAAAATATTTTTGACAAAATTAAATTTGTAATAATAATAGAAATTTCTTGTAGTGATAAGATTATTAAAACCCTAAATTGATTGTATTATAAATAACCATAATAATTATATTTATTTCTTAGTATTATATTTTTAAATTATTTAAAAATTGTAGAATTTAAAATAATATGATCAATACCAATAGTGTTGGTACAAGTGGTTGAGATTCATGAATTTAAGTTTGTAAGACAAAGTTTGAATCCTACCACCATCACTCTTGGTATAAAATATTTTCAATCGGTCACAATAAGGTATAAAATATTCTTGATGCAATACATTAAGTGACATAATTTCACGACGTCTTTAAAAATCATCATATAAAAAGATATAACAATGAGTGACAAATAATTGATTTTATCATGGTAAATCTATTTTTTGTGACAATAATAAAACACCACTTTTAATGTCATACAAAATATGACGAATCAAAGTATCACAAATAAAATTTATTAATGACAAATGTACAACGTCACGAATTCAAATCGCATCGTCGTTATAACAAAACGTCACTAATATATTTTTTTCTATTGGAGGCGATTTTACAACGTCACTATTTTATCTAAATGTCATTAAAAGGTTTCCCACAAAAAAATTGGCGGGAAGATTTAGGCGCCAAACATATTGTGACGAATCCTACCACCGTCACTCTTGGTATAAAATACTTTTAATCTGTCACAATAATGTATAAAATATTCTTGATGCAAAACATTGAGTGACTTAATTTCACAACGTATTTAAAAATCATCATATAAAAAAGATATAACAATGAGCGACAAATAATTGATTTTGTCATGCTAAATTTATTTTGTGTGAGAATAATAAATAATCTATTTTAATGTCTTATAAAATATAACGAATCAAAGTGTCACAAATAAAATTTATTAGTGACAAATGTGCAACGTCAAGAATTCAAATCGCATTGTCATTATAATAAAACTTCACTAATTCTCTTTTTTCCATTGGAGACGATTTTACGTCAATATTTTATCTAAATGTCATTAAAAGTTTCCCACCAAAAGTTTTGGCATGAAGATTTTGGCGCCAAATATATAATGACGAAAATCAATGACCATTTTTGAAATAGTCATAAAAGATATAGTATTAATCACTAAATACGAGGAAATGAAAAAAAACTTCATGTTATATTATATTTTGTGACGTTATATGCAATGTTATATAGAAATTTCGTCACAAATTGATAAATTTGTTGTAGTGTTAAACAATAGCAAAGACCAGCGAGTCTCATATTTTGTCAACACAAAGAAGAAAGGGTTAATTAGGACGAAATAGATGAACAAAATAGAAGGAATAAAGTAACTTTCACAACACCAGATCGAGGAGACAAAATTAAATGCATTCTTTTTTCAAGTGGTATAAAATGATTATAAGATAATATTTATTTAAAATATTCTTAATCAATTGACAACGCACATACACCTTACAATCAGCGATCTAAATTTTTTTTAGTCTTCATCTTACATTCATAAAGTTGATATTAGAAAATAGTATTCACCTACTTTCTCTGAATGAAACAAGATGAAAGAGAAAATTATGATTCAAAGAAACTTTAAAATTTAATCTTAAATGTAACGTTCTGAATCATGAGTTAGTAATTCGGGTTAAATAGGAAGTGTTTAATTTAACCCAAAAACCTTATAGGGAAACTTGGCATAATTGGGAATTGGGTTAGGCTTGGTTTTAGCCCAACTAGGGTAAAAAGGACATTTTTAAATATTGGGCAAAACTAGAGTGACCAAGGGAGTAATTTTATTCTTTCTATTTTCAAAAGCTGAAATCCTTTAATGAATGATGATATCACATTGTCATTCTCTTTTTCTCAACTCTCTTTTGTCATTTTCTTCTTCCTTAAAACTTCATCTCATTCCCTTGGAAGCTCGAGTAAAGGTGAAAGCTTTGTTGGTCTACAATTCTTATATGATTTAGATAAAGTAAGAAACGAAGTCACCTCTCCTAGAGCTTCAATTCAAGCCCTCAATCTATTCATTTCACCATAGTATCCAAAACATAGGTTTAGTGGGGGTTTTAGAAACCTAATGAATTTAGATAATTTTTTAGAGATTCAGACCTCTAGAAACATTTTAAATTTCTTTCTAAACTCTTAAAAACGTTAGCAATCTTTATACTTGATTTTTGTCTAGTGAGAGAAGTTGGATAAAGCTCAAAGGCTAGAGGAAAGGAGAAATCTAGTGCTTGGTTGAGACTTGCACACTTCCAACAGCTTTGGAAATCAATGTAACTCACTTCTAACTCATCTCTACCACATGTAGGTCATTAGATGTGTTTTAGTAGGTTGCTTGAGTTATGAAGCATGTTCATGGTAGAATTCACTATTTTGTATTTTCCAACATGTTTATGGACCTTTTACAACTCCTATTATCATACATAACTTTTTAATAATGTTTGGAGACCCTAATAGAATTTTTTAGATTATTGAGGAGGTATTTTCGTGCCCAAAATAGGGTATTTCTGAGCATGAGTATCGGTACTAGAAGAACAATATCGATATTATTTTTCAAGTATTAAAAATAAATTGGTTTTGGGCTAGAAGTATCGATACTTATGCGATAGGTATCAATGTTGTAGGTGAGGTCTCGATATTCGTAGAGTGGTATCAATACCGAGTTCACTTAGCCAACTTTAGTAGCCAAATTCGTATTGATACTCATGGGAGTATCGATACCAAGGGTAGAGTATCGATACTCCTCATAGGGATATCGATACTTAGTCATATTTCAAAACATCAAAACCAAATTTGGTATCGGTACTCAGGGAAGTATCGATACCACATACCAGTAGTATTGATACTCTAGAAGGAGTATCAACACCAAACCTTTGTTATCAGCCTTTAATAAGTTAGTGGCATTGATACCTAGAGGTTAGTATCGATACCTAAAGGCCAATATTGATACTGAGGGGCTTAGTATCGGTACCCACGAACATTTTTGGGTAAGAAACCCAAGGGTTTAAAGGATGGAATTGAGGAACCCAATAACACAATAACATCATGAAATAAAACTAAAAGTGAGGACAATAATAAGCTCAGAACAGTTAGAAACAACAACAATTAGGATGACATAAAACTAGCCTTGTTTAACGCTTGAGACAAATTTAGGACACCGATTTACTTTAGAAAATACGATCGTACAATTGGATATCCCAGTCAGTACGAAGGACTTCAATCGCTAGTTGGGCGTAGATGCCCTAAGACTCGATGGGGTAAGTTGGAAGGGTGTACATTTCATATATAGAGCTCTAGATCTCATTCCAATACACAAGGGTATTTTAGAAAAGCCAGAGGGGTGTGTGAGCTTCGAGATATAGAACTCTCAGCCGCACCATGATGCCTATGTCAGTATGTCAAATAATCATTTCCATGTCTTCATACCTATGCATCTAGCATATAAATTTAGTGAATGCATATAATATTGTACAATTATTAGTGAGGCATTGAGCTCGTAAGCTCAACGTTCAAAATATGTTTATGTGTGTATGTTCTTAGAAGACCAGGCAAGGAACATTATCATCACCAACAGTTCTAGCTCAGCAGAGACTTCAGAGTACATCTTGATTATTATTAGAGAGCATGTACTATTGTAAACCTTTTTGTATTCATTCGTAAGTTTATTTTGTTTTAAACCCAGTGTATTATTTTGGGATGTTTTGAGAGCTCTTTCGTACAAGTTAAACAAATTTATTATGTTTTATTTGCATGCCTATGAATCACGTTTTATATAATGGTTTACAATGTTTTAAAAAAAATTTAGGTTAACTACTTCGATGGTCCCGTGTGACATCATGATCCAATAATCTTCAGGTCGGACTAAATTAGGGTGTTACATTTAGTGGTATCAGAGTGACATGTTTAGTCGTTTCTAAAACCCGTGGGTTATATTCAATTAACATCTATAAGTGTAAATG